ACACACACACACACACACACACACACACACACACACACACACACACACACACACACACACACACACACACACACACACACACACACACAAACACACACAAACACACACAAACACACACAAACACACACACACACAAGCATTTCCCTCAAGCTTCCCGGCTGGACGGGAAACCTACCGCTCGAACGGCTGAGCGGTGCTCACCCAGGTTCTCGATCCCTGAGCTGCAGGGCGTTGTCGAAAAGCACCAGCGCCCCGGTCGCGATCGAAGCGTGACCATCTGGTGTTTTCTCTTTTTCTGGTGCTTTGTTGGCACCTGTTTGGGTTTGCCCTATGCTTGGATGTCTTGTACTTGCGCCCTTCCGGTTTGTACTTGCGCCCTTCCGGTTGCTTGATGTCCTTTCTTTGTGCTTTGCGTTGAAATATGTGCTTTTCTTTCCTTTTTTGTCCGTTTTCGCTTGCCGTGGTTTTCTTGTTTTGTTGTTTGAGTTCTCGGCAGTTTTGGGTCTGCGATCTTAGCTTCGTGCTTTTGTTGCTCACAAATTCCAGCTTGGCGTTGGGCGATGCCACTTCTCCGGACTGCTGTCGAGGCGAAGGTTGATCCTTTCTGGATTAGGGGAAGTCAAAGGATCGCAAATCCATTTTGGATCCCCCGGTTTGTCAGCCCCGGTTTGTGCAACTTGTGGTTTCTCACAGATGGCTCGGTTCTATGTGAGCCTTTCAATGGATTCTGGGTTGTTTTGCCCGCATTTTTTTGCAAGGTGTGTGTGTGTGTGTGTGTTTGAGCGTTGCAACCTTTCTCAGAGGGTTACCCCAAATCTCCGAATTAGGTTCATCTACTTCGCTTCCCTTTGGTGCTAGTGGATTGGGTGTAGTGGACTCCCTTGGATGATACATGGCACTTCTTGTGTTGGTTCCCTCGAACCAGTCTCCAATGAGTCTTTTCGACACACAGCCCTAAGCACTTACAAGTTAAGTGCATTTGCGGGGAAAGATCAGGTTCCCAACCGCACTGTCAGATTCCATGTTGGTGGGTGCTGGTGGGTGGGAAGGCAACTTCTTCACTGATACGATGCATTTTTTGAGGGCACCTTTTCTTTTTTCGGGGAACCCAACAAGAGACCACTTGTTCAGGTACCTCTTCATTGGTGGGTGGTTTGGGGAGTTGTGCCCCTGGTTCTTCTAGAAGGTAACTGGCACACTACTCCTAACCTCCAAACAACCCGAACCACCAATAGTCAGGTAGCCCTTTGGTTTGAACTGGTGGATCCGTATTTGAACCGGCTTTTGTAGAGGCTTCATTGGAAACCCCACCAAACCACCAAACCACCGGGCCACGAGGGAGGCTCCCAAGACCTGCGCCGCTCAGGGAGAAGCGCCTGGTCAGCTCTTCCTTTCGCTGGGTGGGGTCTACGGATCCCGAGCTCAGCTGCTCGGCTCGGTCAGTTTGTTTTTCTCGGCTTGGAAACTTACGGATCCACTTTCCAGATTTTGATGGGTGTGGCCCCACCTTCCTGTCGAGTGAAATTACGGGTCTGGTAAATTGGCATCTTTGTTTGTCCATGTTCTGTGGCTCAAACTTAGGAGACTTCCAGGGGACTGTAGGTGAAGTTAGCTTGTCTAAATTGAAATTTACCAGGGTTCCATTTTGTTCCGATTCCTATTTTTGAGCCACACCTGAGTTTTACTATGGTGGTTGGTGGACACCCAACTAATGTTCACCAAACGGTCCCCCATTAAAATTCAGACCCATGTATGTTTGTAGAATTTGACGGAATCCATTAATTGTTTAGAAGCCATTTAGGGTCTAGGGCTTAACCCCCCAGTGAACCTGATGGTAGCACAGTAGCTATCCAACACCCAATCGAAATAAAACCCCAGTTACCCCGCCAGCGAACCCCTTGCACACCAACGGTACCAGCTGCTTTGCAGCGGATAGAAAGGGAGCTTCCCCCGAGTTTGGTTTTTTTGTCGATGAGCCGGATACCCTCCTGAATGGGAACCCCCAGTACTAGTCAACCGGGGGCTCTTAGTTCTGGGTTCCGTTTGGCCTGGGATAGGGTTCCAGTGGACTTCATGGGAAGCTTCCTGCATGCTGGCGCTTGTTGGAGGATCAACTTGGTGGAAACGGTCTGGTTGGTGAGGTAGTCAATAACCCTCAGTACCTCCCCGTGCAATTCAAGCCCTTGGTCATAGACATAGGTATGGATATATGGAGTTACACAAGTCGTAGCTTCTCATACAGGCTTTGCTGACTCCGCACCTTCGAATTTTCTTCCGCTGGACATCGGACTCGGGGGTCGTTCCTTTCTCCTCGATGCCACGAGGCGGGCGGGAACCTCGCGTGGCAGCAGAGCCGGAGGCGTGCAAACCTGGGGTTCACGGACTGGGCTATGCGGCGTTGGTGACCTATGGGTGTGATTTTTATACCGGGGACCCTTAGACATCAACATTCGGTGATGGTTCATGTCCACCAACACCTTTGGGAGGGTATTCCTCCTTCAAATTCAGAACCTATCTGGGTCGTCTCTTTTCAAGTGTTGGGTACCACTTGTTTTTGCCTCAAAGGGAAGCCCGCTACCTTTTGCGACCTGCCAGCATCTTGGCGGAGTGGGCCTTTGCACTCGATACAACAGGTTGTACCTTTATGACCTTTGTTAAGGTGAGAGCCTTGCAAGCCTTGATAGCAGTTTTGGTAGAATCGAAGGTCGCCTGAAAGCAGTAAATTCAGCTACTGTTTTCACGCAGCCTGTACGTACGTCTCCAACAGACAGAATCAAACGATTCAGGCAGCCTACAAACCAGCATGCAAGCTAGGTAGATCGAACGCTATTTCTTCTATCTGCCAATCGTTGGTCTACTTGTCCGACCATTTGTCTATCGATCATATCTATCTACCTACCTATCAACCTTATCAATCAACCAACCAACCAAGCAACCAAGCAACCAAGCAACCAAGCAACCAAGCAACAAAGCAACCAAGCAACCAAGCAACCAAGCAACCAAGCAACCAAGCAACCAAGCAACCCAGCAACCCAGCAACCCAGCAACCCAGCAACCCAGCAACCCAGCAACCCAGCAACCCAGCAACCCAGCAACCCAGCAACCCAGCAACCCAGCAACCCAGCAACCAAACAAGCAACCAAGCAATCAAGCAATCAAGCAAGCAAGCAAGCAAGCAAGCAAGCAAGCAAGCAAGCAGTCAGTGTCAGTCAGTCAGTCAGTCAGTCAGTCAGTCAGTCAGTCAGTCAGTCAGTCAGTCAGTCAGTCAGTCAGTCAGGCAGGCAGGCAGGCAGGCAGTCAGTCAGTCAGTCAGTCAGTCAGTCAGTCAGTCAGTCAGTCAGTCAGTCAGTCAATGAATCAATCCATCAATCAATCAATCAATCAATCAATCAATCAATCCATCCATGAAAATCCATCCATCCATCCATCCATCCATCCATCAATCAATCAATCAATCAATGAATTAATCTATACATATCCCTAATCTTATCTTGTCTTGTCCTATCGTACACTATCCAATCCTATCCTAATCTATCTATTTTATCTTATCACATCGTATCTTGTCAAAATCTAATCCGAGCTAGCCTCATCTAATCTAGTCTTATTTTGCTGTAATGTAATCTAATATAATCTATCTAGCTGACCTGATCCATCCGATTTATCGCATCTATCCGATCTAGCCCATCTATCCGGTCTATTCAATCTATCCGAACCATCCAATTTATCCAATCTATCCCATCTATCCCGTATATCCCATCTATCTGATCTATCCGATCAATCCTATTTTAACGCCTCCGGCTCAGGCCGCCGACATTACAGGCCTGCTTTCTTATTTGCGTCCCTTTGGAATTGTCCCCTTGCCCCCTTCCCCTCTGAGATTTTTGCCCCCCTTTCTTTGTTGAGATCCATTCCCCCTTTCCGCCCTAAGGCCTTTTCTCCCTCTGTTTTTTTCCCTTTTCCTCCCTAAGATGTTTTCCCCCTCTCCCTGTTGAGATCCTTTCCCCCCTTTCCCCCCTAAGGCCTTTTCCCCCCTGAGATCTTCTCCCTTTTCCTCCCTTTCCCCCACTTTCCCCCCTACGGCCTTTTCCTCCCTGGGATCTTTTTCCTTTCCTCCCTGAGATCTTTCCCCCCCTTTCCCTGTTGAGATCCTTTCCCCCCTTTCCCCCCTACGGCCTTTCCCCCCGCTGAGATCTTCTCCCTATTCCTCCTTAAGATCCTTTGCCCCCTTTCCCTGTTGAGATCCTTTCCCCCCTTCCCTTTAAGGCCTTTCCAGATCTTCTCCCTTTTCCTTCCTAAGATTGTTTCCCCCCTTTCCCTGTTGAGATCCTTCCCACCCTTTCCCCCCTCAGGCCTTTCCCCCCCCTGAGAGCTTCTCCCTTTTCCTTCCTTAGATCTCCCCCCTTTCCCTGTTGGCCTTTTTTCCCCCAGATCTTCTCCCTTTCCTCCCTAAGATCTTTTCCACCCCTTTCCCTGTTGAGATCATTTCTCCCCTTTCCCCCCTACGGCCTTTGCCCCCAGATCTTCTCCCTTTCCTCCCTAAGATCTTTCCCCCCCTTTCCCTGCTCAGATCCTTTCCCCTCTTTCCCCCCGAAGGCCTTTCCACCCCTGAGATCTTCTCCCTTGTCCTCCCCAAGATCTTTTCTCTTGGTTGAGATCCTTTCCCCCTTTCCCCCCAAGATCTTCTCCCTTTTCCTCTTTAGGATCCTCTCCCGTTTCCCTGTTGAGCTCCTTTCCCCCTTTTCCCCCTAAGGCCTTTTCAGATCTTCTCCCTTTTCCTCCCGAAGATCCTTTGCCCCCTTTCCCTGTTGAGATCCTTTCCCCCTTTCCCCCCTAAGGCCTTTTCCCTGCCTGGGATCTTCTCCCTTTCCTCACTGAGATCTTTCCCCCCCTTTCCCTGTTGAGATCCTTTCCCTCCTTTCCTTCCTAAGGCCTTTCCCCCCGCTGAGGTCTTCTCCCTACTCCTCCTTAAGATCCTTTGCCCCCGTTGAGATCCTTTCCCTTCTTCCCTTTAAGGCCTTTCCAGATTTTTTCCCTTTTCCTTCCTAAGATTGTTTCCCCCCTTTCCCTGTTGAGATCCTTCCCACCCTTTCCCGCCTAAGGCCTTTCCCCCCTGAGAGCTTCTCCCTTTTCCTTCCTTAGATCTTTCCCCCCTTTCCCTGTTGGCCTTTTTTCTCCCAGATCTTCTCCCTTTCCTCCCTAAGATCTTTTCCACCCCTTCCCTGTTGAGATCATTTCTCCCCTTTCCCCTCTAAGGCCTTTGTCCCCAGATCTTCTCCCTTTCCTCCCTAAGATCTTTCCCCCCCCCCTTTCCCTGCTGAGATCCCTTTCCCCCTTTCCCCCCTAAGGCCTTTCCCCCCCCTGAGAGCTTCTCCCTTTTCCTTCCGAAGATCTTGTCCCCCCTTTCCCTGTTAGGCTTTCCCCCCTAAGTCCTTTTCTCCCAGATCGTCTCCCTTTCCTCCCTAAGATCTTCCCCCCCCTTTCCTCCTTAAGATCTTTCCCACCCTTTCCCTGTTGAGATCCTTTCCCCCCTTTCCCTCCCAAGGCCTTTCCCCCCCCTGAGAGCTTCTCCCTGTTCCTTCCTAAGATCTTTTCCCCCCTTTCCCTGTTGGGCTTCCCCCCCTAAGTCCTTTTCTCCCAGATCTTCTCCCTTTCCTCCCTAAGATCTTCCCCCCCCCCCTTTCCTTCCTAAGATTGTTTCCCCCCTTTCCCTGTTGAGATCCTTCCCACCCTTTCCCCCTGAGGCCTTTCCCCCCCTGAGAGCTTCTCCTTCCTTAGATCTTTCCCCCCTCTTTTTTCCCCCAGATCTTCTCCCTTTCCTCCCTAAGATCTTTTCCACCCCTTTCCCTGTTGAGATCATTTCTCCCCTTTCCCCCCTAAGGCCTTTGCCCCCAGATCTTCTCCCTTTCCTCCCTAAGATCTTTCCCCCCCTTTCCCTGCGCAGATCCTTTCCCCCCTTTCCCCCCTAAGGCCTTTCCCCCCCTGAGATCTTCTCCCTTTTCCTCCCTAAGATCTTTTGCCATTTTTCCCTGTTGAGATCCATTCCCCCTTTCCCCCCTAAGGCCCTTTCTCCCTCTGAGTTTTTCCCTTTTCCTCCCTACGATGTTTTCCCCCCTCTCCCTGTTGAGATCCTTTCCCTCCTTTCCCCCCTAAGGCCTTTTTTCCCCCGCGATCTTCCCCCTTTTCCTTCCTAAGATCTTTTCCCCCCTTTCCTTGTTGAGATCCTTTCCCGCCCTTTCCCCCCTAAGGCGTTTTCCCCCCCAAGATCTTCTCCCTTTTCCTCCCTAAGATCCTTTGCCCCCTTTCCCTGTTGAGATCCTTTCCCCCCTTTCCCCCCTAAGGCCTTCCCCCCCCTGAGATCTTCTCCCTTGTCCTCCCCAAGATCTTTTCCCCCGAGATCTTCTCCCTTTTCCTCCCTAGGATCTTCTCCCACCTTTCCCTGTTGAGCTCCTTTCCCCCTTTTCCCCCTAAGGCCTTTTCAGATCTTCTCCCTTTTCCTCCCTAAGATCCTTTGCCCCCTTTCCCTGTTGAGATCCTTTCCCCCTTTCCCCCCTAAGGCCTTTTCCCTGCCTGGGACCTTCTCCCTTTCCTCACTGAGATCTTTCCCCCCCTTTCCCTGTTGAGATCCTTTCCCCTCTTTCCCCCCTCTCTCTCTCTCTCTCTCTCTCTCTCTCTCTCTCTCTCTCTCTCTCTCTCTCTCTCTCTCTCTCTCTCTCTCTCTCTCTCTCTCTCTCTCTCTCTCTCTCTCTCTCTCTCTCTCTCTCTCTCTCTCTCTCTCTCTCTCTCTCTCTCGCTCTCTCTCTATCTCTATCCCTCTACCTCTATCTCTCTATTTATCTCTATTGCTCTATCTCTGTATGTATCTTTATTTCTCTATCCCCCTACCCCTCTATCTCTCTATTCATGAATTTATCTATTTATCTATCTATCTATCTATCTACCTATCTATCTATCTATCTCTATCTATCTATCTATATCTATCTATCTATCTATCTATCTATCTATCTATCTATCTATCTGTCTATCTATTTATCAATCAATCAATCAATCTATATATCTAATCTAATCTAATCTAATCTAATCATATCTTCTCTGATGTGATCTGATCTGATCTGATACATCCATCCATCCGTCCGTCCGTCCGTCCGTCCGTCCGTCCGTCCGTCCGTCCATCTGACCTCGCGAAAGTGCTGCGCTTGCTACTAAATCTGTACCTAGCCTTCTGAAACCGCTGCGCCTTCTACGAAAGCTGTACCTGGACTTGCGAATATCCTGCTCCGACCACAAAATTTGTGTGAAAGTGTTGCGGCTGCCACGAAATCCGTACCTGCCCTTTCGAAAGTGCTGCACCTGCGGCAAAAATTGCGCGCACGAGTGCCCATGTGCCAGCTCCAAACATGCTTTCCGAGCTCGCTCCGAATGCGCTCCGAATGCGCTCCGACGCGTCACGAGCGGGATACTTTTTGGACCTTTCTGTCTATTGCCACACAAGCGCATGATTTTTCTCGTTCGTGCTTAGTCTTCCATTGTCTTCTGTCAGAGAGCTCATCTCGGTGGAGCCCCCAAAATTCCATAAAGCCGCTAATCGGCGTGCGTTCACCCTGGTCGCCCCATTGTGGCTTGCCTGCTTACGACACGTTGACAGCCAGCGAGACTTTTGGTTTGACTTCTGACCCCGCCAAAGTCACTTGAGCCACAATCAAAGCCCGGGCAGATGATTGTTAGTAAGGGACAATCCTAACCATAAATGGCTGCGGATATCCGCCTTCTTAATTCTCTACATGGCTCTGGGTAGACCATTTACCGGGTGTTGATTCTGACACGCTTTGCTTTGGCGAACGGTCCTTTCGTTCTCGCGGAGCTTCTTGTTGGGGCGGGGGACTGAGAGCTTTCTGATGTCCAGGCGGGGGACGAGCCCTGGCTGGTGCCTGCAGGCGTCAAGGCGCCGCAGTCAGGGGTTTCGGATGTGCGAAATGGGCGTCTCTTCCAAATCTAGTTTCTATTTCAGGGTAGACTAAGTTTGAAACAGACTCTGAAGATATTTGTGTCTGTGTACCGCAAACCCAGGTAGCTGAAGGCGTCTCAGCCAGAACTAGCGGCCGCTCTTTTGACTTGAAATGTTTTTGGAAGTTGCACCTCTCTAATACCAGGTCTTCTTGTCACGCAAATGCATGCGTATCTTTTATTGAGGGGTTGGTTTATGGAGTGGCTTAAAGGCAACCCGAAAGGCACACCGAAAGCCTTAGTGGGAGCAGAGGGATCAAATGGGGTTACAAAGCACAAATCCTCCCGCACCAAATGAGAGCCAAGTTGGTCAAACAGGAATCTGAAAACAAGGACTCTCCAATTTTAGTGTTGCGTTGGTTCCTTTGGGAGGCGGAAGCCTTGCCAGCAACCGCACCCTTTGGAACCCGGTGTTCCAAACCCTCCACAGCCTTCCGGAACGCTCTGCAACCGCTCCACAACACCCCGGAATCGTTTCTGCTGACCCCGGAGCCTTGGGCAGAGACCCCGTAGCATGTAGCTTTCAGTCGGGGAAATCGCTACATTCGCCCAGGTGATCGTCGTGTCCCTGGGCAGCATGACGGTGGACAGCCGCTGGGAGGCCCCTGAGCACGTGCCCTTTGGACGAGAAAACATGCGCTTCTTTTTGGGATTGATCCCGGATCCGCGGCCAAATCTACCAGAACCAGAGGGCCACCAATCTTCCCCCAACTCGTAAGGCTTTCCAATCTTCCATATCTTCCCACAAAACCTCCAGGGGACAGAGCGCGGGCATGTCCATGTTGGGCTCCGGCCGTCAGGTCCTCCACGGGCTTCGTCACCGGGCGGCAGTTCAGCCAGCGGCTCTGGAGCGAGCTGATCGAGTTCTTCGGCCACCGCGCCTCGACTTTTAAACTTCTCCCGCGAGCCGCGCCTCGGGGTCTTCGGGTCTTTGGGTTAGCTGATGTGCTGTATATCTACGGTTTGAAATTGGGAGTACCGGGGTTTGTAGCTAGATTTTCATGGGTGCAAATAGACTCGGATGGGCGAAGGGCGCTGGGCGAGAGGGATGCAACTGGAGGGGGTAAATTGGCGCAGCCCCGGGACGCGTCTACACGCTGCAGTTGGGCCATCAGACACGTTTAGTGGAATGAGATGCCCCGTTTGGGGCTACCAGCTACTTCAGGGCCCAGAAATGTCCGACTTTTCCGGCCACCGGAGCTTGGGCTCAAGTTCCACACAAGGCGCCATCCGAATGGAGCGCCAGCTCTGCCAGATTTGGAGGCCGCTAGGGCATTGCTTGGCGCTGCGCTGCTGCCGGCGCAGTGATGAGCGGCTGTGCCTGGAATGCCAAGCATCGAGACGGGGTTCCATTTTGATTTGTGCTTTCGTCAGGGGCGCACCAACAATGAAGTGTCAGTAGGCCAAACAAGGCATGATGTTGGAGGGGAGGGGGTGTTGCGTGGGGGAGGCGGATGGGGGAAAGTCTTTGTGAACCCCCGGAGGGCGATTTCCGCTGCCTGACCCAAATTTGCATTCTCGAGCAAAGGGTCAGGAATTCTTGCGCAGGGTTGGGGGTTACCTGAGGTAACCACCACCCTGTCCTTAGTTTGGCAGGCAGTGGGGTTGCTCGCAGGTCGCCCAAGCTGATCAAGGGCGATCAACCTCACGGAGATTGTCCACAATTTAGCACCAGGGTGGCAACTGCGGCTGGCACATTAGATGAGAGATGGATGCGCAGTGATGCGGAGGTCTCATCGTGTGGACGCCAGAGCCTCGTTCTTGCTTGAATTAATGAGCATCATTTTGATGGTATTTAGACGGTAGCATTTTTGGGACGCATATCCGAGTCCAGCCAAAGCGGATTCGAACGCGTCCAGTATTCCGGTTTGAGTCCAGCCAATGCGGATTCACACGCAAGGATTGTAGCCCCGCTGCTAGGCATCTGAGCATAGCCAAGGTGCGACCTGTGACGCAAGCCTTCAAGACTTCAACTGTTTCAGCTTGACCTCCCAGAAACATCATGCCCGTGTGGTTGTTGCATTGACTTGCACCATGGCAAGATGCCAGGCAAGTCTTCGGATTTGTGAGCCAGTGCTAGAACTTAGTGTGTTAGCTCGCAGGACATTTGATTGCAAGCATTGAGGTGCATGCTTGTTGGATGATGCACTGTGCGACACATTCCATTCGACGCTTCCTGGGTAGTAGGTGCTGTGGGTGGTGGGTCCGGGTTCAATTCGACTCTGATTTGTCACATGATGTATTGGTTTGGGCCACCTTGAGGCTTCCCAAGGCATATCATTCTGCAGGTGCATCCAGGCCCTGCACTCTACGTGACAGACAAACATACACCATCCATCCTTTGCCTGACAGGCAGAAGGGAGGATGCAAGATTCAAAATCGCAGGTCAAACTCAGAAGCTGAGGCCGCCTTTTCAGGCCTGACTTTGATATCTTCCGGCGCATTCGTGTTGCCGAGAGATTTTGCCACTAGTCAGTTCTCAGAACTGACAACTGACACGTAGGCAAGCATAGCTCCAGACTCCGTCCTTTGCCCTACTTGTACTCTGCTCTCAGAAGCTCTCCCAGCGACATTTGCTCCTTCTATGACCATGATGTTGACTCATTTTGGGCAAAGTCAGAAGCCGGGGTTGTTTCCCTTAAACCCACCACTTGGAGGGGTGACTTTGTTGCAGTAACAGGGCAAGTATGAAGGAGCTACATGCTGTCATGCCAAGATAGTCAGCAACCGAAAAAGTGCCTAACCCGATGGAGAGGCACTGGAGGCAGTGACTTGCACCATGGCAAGCTTGAAATTCGACAAGATGCCAGGCAAGTCTTCGGATTTGGGAGCCAGTGCTAGAACTTAGTGTGTTAGCTCGCAGGACATTTGATTGCAAGCATTGAGGTGCATGCTTGTTGGATCTGCTTCCTGAGAAGAAATCAGTGCGTGTCAGATTCCTAAAAACACATGCTGGTACTGATTCGGCTAGAGAGCGCTTCAGCGCATCCATCATATTTTTGCGACCCAGCTCCGCACAGTGCGACAGATTCCAGTTCAATTCGACTGATGTCTCACATGATGTATTGGTTTGGGCAGCCTTGAGGCTTCCCAAGGCATATCATTGTGCAGGCGCACCCAGGCCCTGCACTCTACCTGACAGGTAGAAAAGCATTCTCCGTCTTTTGCCCTGTGACAGGCAGAATCTCAGAAGCTCTTAAAGACCTGAGCCACTTCAGCCATCAAAGGATGCAGTATGGAGTATGGAGCTATGCTTGCCTACGTGTCAGTTGTCAGTTCCGAGAACTGACTAGTGCCAACATCTTCTCGGCAACACGAATGCAGAAGAAATCAAAATGGCAGCGAAAAAGTGCCGCAGCGAAAAAGTGCCTACAGCACTGGAGGCACTGGAGGCACTGGAGGCACTGGAGACACTGGAGGCACTGGAGGCACTGGAGGCACTGCAAACACTGGAGGCACTGGAGGCACTGCAAACACTGGAGGCACTGAACATGTCTGAAGGTCCATTTCAGTTTGAGTCCAGCATTTTCGCCTTTGCTGCCCTTTATCTTGTTGCAGATTCTGCCAACATTCCGAGCGCAATATGTGAGCTGGCATGGACTCATTTCTGCACCTCCACGGAGGTAGTGGCACTTGTAGCTAGGGCCATTGGGGGGTGCCGTGTTCTTTCCGACGTGGGCCACCTTGGCTTTTTTGACCGCGTTCCTATGTGCCTTCAACTACCCTCCCACCAATCAACATGGAACCTGACAGGGGGATTCTGGTTTGGACCATTTTCCTTTTAAAGGGACCCTGTGTTAGGTTCCATGTGAAAAGGGTTGGCTGGGTCCTGTCCAGCGAGCCTTGCGCTCAGGCTCCGACGTGCGGGTCATCCTTGCGGTGGGGCCCAAGGACAGGGTTGCCACTTGAGTCTAGGAACCTGCAATGACAAACAACCCTTTGAGGTGCCTGTGTATTTTGAGGGCACCAAGGCATTCTTGTGGATGTAGTTTGAGAGACAGCGCAAGAAAAATGAATTAATGTTTTGGGCTAGTCCTGTTTTGGACTTCCACGTCTTTGCCTTTCCAAGCGCGGGCTTCGGTTAGGAGGAGGCCGTGGAAATGCTCGGAGAGCTCCCGCCCAACGTGGTGGCCCGGCGATATCTGGACCAGGCGGGGAGTCGGTCGGAGCCTGGCGGGGGGGGGGGGGGGGTTGGGGGTTGGTGGGGTGGGGGTTGGGCGGGGGGGGGTTGGCAGACTTGGCTCAAACGAATTGGATTTCAGGGCCTTGAGAAGGCAAACCAAGAAGATGTTTCAACCGCGCGAAGGTGGCCATTCCACGCAACCAAATGGATCCACTGGGACCCTGGTGTCGGCTGCATCCAGGTGGCCGCGCTGAGCCACGCCGACGTCTTCGTCACGCACGGGGGCTTCAACAGCATCAAGGAGGCGAGCCGACTCAGTAGGCAAGTGAGTAGAAGCACTGTTCACTGTTCCAGTGGATGTGATTACAGTAGGCAACCGGGCATTTGTACCTGTTTGTGTTACAGATAACTACTGTATGGAGGGACATGGAAGCACTGTGGTTGCAACTCAAGGGACTTCCCATAGCTTTGGGTATAGAACCCTGCTAGGGCCATCTTGCAGAGGTGGTTGTGTGTCTCCCTCAAACATGGGATGCCCCAATATGCTTCGAGGCTGTTCAAGCCGGCCTTTTCGTTCCAGAGCCCCCGTTTCATGGGCATGTTTGACCCTCCAAAAGGGCGACCGTGCTTTGTTAGCAAAACACATGGTGGCAGTTGAATCGAAGCCCTTGCGCCCAAGAGCCGCCGCTTTGCAACATTTGCGGGCCATGCCAACTGAGATGGGGGGCCAGAAGGAAGCACACACACACACACATGCCATGTGTAGTCCCCACCACCAAGAAATGTTTGGCATAGTGTATGGGAAGAGGTCAATGCAGGGTTTTCCTGCAATGTATGTGCATTTTCCGTGGTTGATGAGTGCAGGGGGTACTTAATGGGGGTGATCATTTTTGGGAGCTTGATTCTTGTTCCAGGCACCCATTTGGTTGGGGGAAGCTAGTTGCCACGGCCAACTCAGCCATGGAACGGGACTGGTGAACTTGTGGCTTATTTGCCCATGGCTACTAGCCACGTAGTCTCTCAAATAGCATGCAATACAGAAAAGCGGGTTCCTCAAAAGGAGACCAATCCGCCAGCCGCCATTCTTGGGTTCCATGCTAATTTGCAGGCGGCTCTGAGTCAATCGCCCGGGCATTGGCCTTGACTTTGCAAGCGGCTCAGGGCATTCTTCTGGCCGTGCCCATGGTAGTGGTGCCCTTCTGCGTGGATCAGCCGACCAACGGGGAGGCTCGATCCCCCAAAAACCGCCGGAGAGATTGCAGGTTCACGTATGGGGCCAGTCCTTTTGGCGAACCGGCTGATCTGCCATGTACCAACTAAAGTTGGACATCTAACTGGGTAGCGGCATTTTAAGGCTGGTTGTTTTGCTTTGGTCGCCTACTGAAATGACTTGCGATTGGGAGCCTCAGGGCCATGTTGAGGCGAGGCAGACGCAAGCGCCGACTGGTCATCGCTCGGCGATCTCCAGCTTGACCGTCGCAGGGCGAAAATTCGTTGACCCTCCAACAGCACCCTGGGGTGTGCAACAGGTTGTAGCCCTTGTCTGGCTGTGCCAGCAGAACAAGAAACTCAAGACAAAGTCAACGGAACATGAGCAGCAACATATGGATATCTTCTGAAACAGGGACCCCCCAGATTGTCGACCGAAGAAAAATATGGTCTCCAACTGGTGACCTAACTGGTGATCAAATTTAGCACGGGTCCCCATATCTTTCGACCGCAGATGCTGGTTTCCCCCAAGTGATCATGGTTGGATGGGAATCCCACAGAGAAAAACTGTGGAAGGACCAAATCCATTTTGCACAAACTAAGACGCCCCAAAGAAAATTCCTAACATTGGGCCTGACACGCTGAGAAAACCGTGGAAGGACACACTTTTCCCCATGATTCCCTGAAAATACCAAGCATTAGACACCCCATGATGATTCCCCGAAAATACCAAACATTGGGGTCGTGAAAATTTGCAGGCCATCGAGCGGCAGAAGGCGGGCCTGTGCTTTCCGGATCTTCTGGCCACACCCCGAGGCGAGGTTCGGGCGAAATTTGGGCAATGGTCTATGCGAAGCCAAACGGCTGAATAAGAATACTAACGTGTGTGTGTGTATATATATATATATTATATGTATGTATGAATATATATATATATATATACACATGTACACCCTTCACCGTTGTTGGACAGCTTTTAGTTCTTTTTGTGTGGTTCTGCTCCTTTTCAGCAAGGGGCTGCCAAAAGCAAAGTGTTTGCTACCCTACCAAGGGTTGTATCGTATATACACGAACTTTTTAGGGACGCCACAAGGAGTCTGCTTAAGTTGTTTAGACACGTTTGACCACTAGTCTGGAACCTCAACCCCTTCCGATGCTGTGGACATTTTGTGCGAACCAGTTGGCAGGTGGATGCCAGAATTCGTAGGCTTAGTTCATCCCGTGTGCGAAGTGCCTTCGAGGGATGGTTTACGCAAACGCTTGGTCAGTCACCAGGTAAACAGTTCCAGCTTACCTCAAATTCATGTCTTCTGTAAACCCTTGCGACCAGAGACCCGTACACTTAAAGCTACCGTCGTTGTAAGTCCCCTAGGCGGGCTATATGGTAACCACTTGGCCCTGGCCTTTCAACTGATTGCTTTTCATTCGTTTGGCTCGGCGGAAGCCAAAAAGGGCCTAACTTGTGCTTGCCCCCATTTCGCATCCAAACTGAGTCTTTCCAGGGAAGAAGTGGTTGCTGTAGCTTTCTTTCCCGTGCAGCACAACTATGAAACCCCCAGTTGTGCATTCCTTTGTGTTGCCCTCTGGTTGGAGGCTGATTCGTAAAGCACATGTTCTAACCAGGGCGGTTTCTGTTCATGTGCGAATTCCGAGCAACAGCAAGGGGAGCCATTGCAGCTCCCCGCCTATTAGCTTTTTGTCTATTTGGTTCTTACCGCCCGAAACAAGCCCGAAATCCTCTGATGTAGTGGGAGCCTTGGTGGGTTGCAAAGTTTTAAGAGCAAGAGGAAGCCGTTGCCAGTTCCCCCCGCATGTTGAGCCAAATCCTCTTGACTTTAGCTCTGAGAGGCGAGCTCACCGCGGCAGTGGAGAGATCGTTCTGCGAGGAGTTCCGCCGGCGCAGTGGCGAGCTGGGGGAGGCGAGGCGTTTTTTGTTCATCTTTATTCTCCACGAAAAGGGGGGCGACCCGGCGACCAGTGAAGGGGCGGGTTTTCATACTTCGGGGTAGACAAAAGCAAGATGGGCCGAAATCTGGGGCGCGTGATTTGTTTCAGGTTCCAGGTTTGTGGTTGGAATCTCTTCGAGAATCGGATGAATGGAAGCCGTGCAAGCCCCTCCCTCCTCTGGGGTTTCCCTTCGTCCACCCCAAAAGGCGCCAGTTCGGCAGGCGTTGCGGGCTGCCGGCGGCGCTCCGGCGGCGGCGGAGGTGGGAGGGGGAAACTCATCGGGGGATATGGGTATGGGTCAAAATTAAACCACCAGGATATGGACCGCCGGTTTTAGTCCTTGGTTTTATTTACCAGGATTCCAATTTGGGGTTACCCTATTTAACATTTTTGACCCGCAGCCATATGAGTGAGAAACAAGGGGGGAGTCCCAAGTTGGTAGGCTGTTGGTAACCGTTCGGTTGTAGCTTACCTTTGAGTCCCCCCCCCCAAATGGGGGTAAGCTGGTGATGAGGGGGTTATAGCCAAAGTGGCAAGCAACTTTCTAACTTGGCCACGAACATCGAAGCTCAGAGTTGCCGAATTGCAGTTGGGAACGCTCATCCAGAGCAGGTGGTGAGACCTCCAGTGGGGCATTTCCTCTTGTTTTTGGAGAGGGTTCCCTTTGGAATCAAGTACCAACAGAAGGAATGCCCTTGCTTCTAAACTCCACCATTGGAATTGGTGTTCTTTATTCTATGATCCTTCCGATATTTTGATTGTGCATTTGCATGTATCTAAGCGTTTCAGTTCTCCTTTGATCCAAATGGGGGCAACTCCGGGGGGTGGGTGGGTTCCCCTTGGTTTTCTGTCAAAGTGACAGCAGAGAGGACTTCCTCAAAGAAAAAACCGGCGCAGCGCATATATTTCCCGGTAGCTTCTTCGCAATGGCTATTTTGGATAAGTGAGGTGCTCGTTTGTGAGTGGGTTTTCGAGTATAGTTGAATTCCTGTTGGTTTGCAAGCCATCCGTTGCATCCGTTACAAGGCACGGTACTTGGTAGTATTTTGCAGACCCATGGCTTCGGCACGGAGAATGAAACAAGGGGAAATGGCGTCATATGCACACCAATGCTCTTTTGGCGCTTGTTTGGCTCCCCTGACTTTTCAGGGAGTGGCTTGTCGGGGGGGGGGGAAGCATTTGAGCCCGAGTCAACACTGAGGGAAGTGAAAATTTGGAAAAGGTCAGTCTGCCAAACGCGGGCGCGGATATCGCGCCCTCCACATGTTTGCCTTACTCGCTCAGCTCCTGGACTTTGGTCACTTGTTGGGATTACCACGTTGGGGGTAAGTAAACAGTCCAGACTTCTTTTGTCCCATCCACTCGAGAGGTGAGTGACACCTTTTTCGTTGGCAGACTTGTGGCAGGCTTGCCTCTCCCTCCTGAGCGAGCGTGCCAGCGCCGGTGGGGCTTGAGGTTGGAGTCATTGCTCAGATCCGCAAGCGGGCGTGCGCCCTTTTTTTTGGAGGGATCTGGCTTGGTTGTACAGGGAAGCCGTTTGGGGAGCGTACGATTTTCAGACGCACCCCAGTGAGAACGCGGAGCTGGGGTCGAAATTGCCAAGGCACCCTGCCTCCTGAGAAAGGAGAGGTGCTCGGCACACCATCTGATTGTAAAGTCCGTTGCAATGGCAACGCTCTCTGGTCCTGAGAAGCCGGATTGTACAGGCTGCCAGTTTCCATTGAAGCGTTTGTATAGGCCAACTTGTGCAATCTCACGCGCTGGACATATTTCGCTCAGCTTGGGCTCTTTCAGAGCTTCCGCCAAGGCAAAAAGAGAAGGTCCGCACCGGTCATGCCTGTGGTTGGACTAGCTGGAACCCTGCGTGTAGCATGCCCCCAGTCGCCCCCCAGCCTCGAGAGTTCCCCTTGCCCGGAGAGGCCGACATGCTGGATCTGGCCATGAACGTCACGGACACCTCGCGCTTGGGGTGCCAGGCCTGAAATGCTTGATTTGTTTCAGACAGAGACCCTTACCCTAAGGGTGGGTTTTTGTGGGCAATGAATGGGCCCCCTCAGTTTTTGCCGGTTTTGGGTGCTCCCTACTTTTACCCAGATGCCTTTCCAATGGAAGTGGACAGGGGTCTTTTGGAAGATGGTCGTCCAGCACCTTCTGAGCACTTCCATGTCTTTCGAGCGAGGGCTGCGCTGTTTCCAGGGTCTACGGGCCTGAAATAGGCGGCACACACGGCAGAGTCCCACGAAGTGACTGGAGAATGGAAGCCAGAATGTCTACCTATTCCCCGGCCTGAATTACATTAATTTCTATATTGTATTTAATAGGAGTTCATGTTGTTAGGTAAGTTCACGACCTTCCCTCTCTCGCGGTAAACGATGGAAGATTCCTAACCCAACTTTAAAATCCAATATATGTCCAGAGAATGCTATTTTATTTTTAATGTAATCTTCAACCGACAGGAGTTAACAGATGGAGGAGGAAGGGACATAAGAAAAAGAAAAGCTAATTAAAGAAGATCCATAATTTTCATTTTAGAATTATGATGCCTTTTCTTTTCTGTCTTTCATTTCATATTCATTCATAATTCTAAGATTGTAAGGATAGAATGATTCCAGATCCACTTCTTTCACTTCACAATCCTAATCAAATATGCTGTGTGTATTAATCCTATCCTTTCCATAAGGACACTTTTCTATTTCTCTTTACTTCTTTAGAACTCTTTTATTTTGGAAAACATTACATTTAGAAGTTACATCAGATTCATTTTGTTTTCTTATTAATAATTCTATCTTATTAATCTTTGCAAATATTATAATTCTATTTATTTTTACAGGATTTAATATTTATTGTTGGACTGGAATTCACTTCTCATATATTTTTCCTCATATTACTTCATCTTTTTTTTTTTAATAGTTTTCATATTTGGTCTAGATATTTATTAAGATAATTAACCAAAAAATATGAAGTCTTATTAATAATCGTTTTTCTTCTTTCTGGAAGTTTTCTAGTTTCTGAAGCTCTATTATTTGTATCCTTCTTTTGGACATCTTTTCATTTCCTCTCTCTTTCCTTGTCATGTCACTCTTCCCTCTTCGTTCGGGCGTGTCCATGAGAGATAGAATGAGACAGCCTGGAATGAAGGGAAGGGTGGCCTGACAGTGAAGAAGAGCCTGATGTGGGATGGTCTTTCTCTTTTCCCATTCCTTCACCTCACCAAGCCTCTACAGTGGGAGAGGCTAACGCCACTTAATCATTATGCGATTTTGGGTATTGCATTCTACTTTATAATGTGTGTATGTATATATATATATACATATATATATATATATATTTATTGATGCCAACCCCTTTGCAATTTGTAATAATAGACTTTGGGGCTGGGTGATGAATGAAGGTACCCATCCATTCCTCTGTCTCATCTCTAAACCAGGAAGATGGACCGGTTGAATGGATGGGACCTCTTTCATAAGCATCTTTATGTTGGAGGAAGATCGAACAGTGCGCAGGCAAAGGGCTCCCCGGTTGTTTTTGATGTAGCACTACCTCTACACAAGAAAGGGGGTATATGCTCAAAGCCTTCAGTATGTACATGTAAGGGTGTGTCTGGTTTTTGAGGTTTTTGGCTTGCCTTTAAAACCAAACCAAAAAGGTTCCCTTGAAGAAAGAACACCCATATCTGATGCAACGGGTCCCCGGTAGCTTGGGTGTAGGTCAAGCTGCAGAAGGAGCGCGACGATGGGCTGAAGGTCAAGATCCCCACGGGCGCGGTGAATTTGCTGGGCTGAGGTTTTGGGCCCTCGGGCCCTCGAAGGTTAGGGGTGTGCTTGCACCATCGGACAAATGAGCAAACCAATCCGATGCGAATTCTTTTTGGAGTCAGTTGTTTGATGCTGTTTCCAGGAACTCGGGCTCTAGTTTTGGTCCTCCTTTTTTCCGCATGCTTCCTGGTCGACCCGGCTCGGGTCCCGAGGGCTCAGCAGCGGGCTAGGTTTTGGAGCGCGGCCCCTTCGGCCAGAGTTTCCCGATGCCAGACTTTGGACTGGAGTCACCACGTCTTTACCGCCAAAAGTCAGCGATTTGCCCAGCAGTTCCGTTTACCTGTATAGGTAACCAAGGGAACCACCCTTTAAACGGAAAAGGAAGACAGCTGGTTACCTGTGGCGAAACGGGGATCTGGATTTCACCTGTTCCTATGAGAACTCTCGCTTGGAAACCTCCAGGCCTTGAAGGGCAATTGGTTACTTGAGATGTGCCAGCGAGGAGCCTTCGCAAGCGGAATGCCG